TTGCTTCATCGTTGGATATTTCAAAAGACGAATATACCAGAAGATGGGCGTCAAAACAGATCTGTATTGTACGAGAAATATGAATCATTGGACGCAAGGAGTAATTCAATCAAGCATCGGCAATGTATTTGTGATTTAAGCTCGCGCTATTCATATTTTGAGATCGAATTAGACAATCCCGTTCCGCCTCAAATCTTTGCCGTTTCCGTATTCTTGAATGATAAAACCTACGACATGCTGTAAGTTCTATTTTGAAGAAAAAATGAAATAAATAGTATCGTTTGATTTTTAGCATCAACAATTATACTCAGGCGGCTGATATACTGCAGCAACTGGTTTCACTCGGTGTACTCATTAGAGAAGATGCAGCGCGTGCCTGTTTAAAGAGTTCTAATGGTCATCAAATATTTGAACTCGGACAAAGAATTCCTGTACAGTATGATGATTGTCAACTTATCGTGCAAAAAAGAGAAAAGTCATCGGATACAATCTGCATTTCTATTTTGGGTATCGAAGATAAGGAAGAACTTCTTGAGGCTCGATTACAAGACACAGTTGCCATATTGAAACTTAAAATTTTGATTTATTTTTCTATTCTACCAGACCGTTGTTCTCTTACCTTCCGTGGCCAACCGATCTACGAGCATCAAACATTCATTGACTGCAATATTCGGCATGGATCTAGAATAGTCTGCTGTCGATTGTAATAAGAAGCACGGATTTTTATTAAAAATAAATAAAATCATCTGAAGAAAACGGAGAAATTCTCTATTCTAGGACGAAAATCTCTATGTACTGTGAAAAAATACGGTGTGACTGCAGATGTAGACGTTCTTTGAACCACAGTCAGCAATAATAGCATGAGAGAGGAAAAGAAAAACGATACACGATGTACTATTCGTTGCTCTAAACTCACGATCGTTCTTAAAAAACAGTTTTCTAAATATAACTTTAAATAATCTTCTTTACATGAGGCATGATAATTGAACTACTATGAAAATATATCAAGTGAAACAATGAATTCATAAATCAAGAAAACGGAGGCGTCGATAATTGTGAAAAAAAGACTCACATCCACATATGCTGCCAACATCCTAATCAAATATGGCATCTAAGAGTATTATAAAGACTACCTGAGAACATTCTTTTGTAAAACTAGCATGAAAAATTCTTGAATTTCATGCTCTACTAGTCAATGGTGTAGGTATAAATTCATCAACATTCACACCCACCTTCTCTATGAAATTGATAATGTGATGGGTTTTGGTTTTGAGCAAACCATTGCTTTATCTAATGGACAAGGAATTGATTTCTGAGATTAGAAATTACCAGAAATCATCAGAAATCAAGATATTGCTTTTTTCCTCCTTGACTTTATTATTTTTCTCTTTATGTAAGAAGATACATACAAGAAATAGAAGTATATTACATCGGTATTGTGCATAAAAGATACCAATTTTAATGAAACTTGTAAATCTCTTCTATAGTCCAAGACGCAAAAAAAGGCGCCGAACGAAAAGAAGACAAAAACCCGCTCATGTGCGTATCCTAAAATCTCTTAGTGCTTCTTAGATGGGCATGCTTTTCTTGATCGCAGTAGTGGGCTGCCAGCGTAGCAGAGTGTGGCAATTTCCATACCAAAAATGTTGGTGTTGGCTCGCCATTGCTTGATCGGCTCACGCACGAAGTCGGAAAGAACATCGACGTCGTTGTTCGCTTTCTTGTTCGTACCCACGAATTGACTGAATCCAGTGCTTTGTTCGGTGTCCTTCTGGTAACCTGTCCATTTTTTGAAAGCCTCGGCCTTTTCCGCCTTCCTTTCGAACATACATGGTTCAAATCGATCTTCAATAGCTTCACAGTACTTTGTCATGAGTGCTTTTGGATCCTGGATAAAATCGTCCGAGTTCACTAGTAGAGGACGAGTCCCAGTGATCTCGGTTAAAAAGTTGAATAAGACTTGTAACTCGCAATATCTGGCATGGTTAGGTTCGTATGCGTTGACGCTACAAAATTGACCCATGTCACATTTCCCACTAGTATCACAGCGATAATTAGTTCGGATAGTCTTTTCTGGTGTGCGAAGCAGGAGCGTATATTTGCAGCTTTAAAGAAAGTCCACTGATAGAAGTGTCGGATTTTCCGGATGCAATCTGTAACCTGGTCTTGTTACATACCTAGCCATCTCTTTGACGAACACATTTTTCTTCTTATCACTTTTGGTATGGAGAAGGTGAGCGGCGATATCAGAAAAAGTCGTCTTGGCATTCTTGTGTCTGGCACATTCTTCTTCACTGAAACTGTCCACAACGCGTTCGCGACCACAAAAGAAGGGTTCGGTAAATGGTTCGTGAAAGCAAACATAATCTTCACGTTGCATAAAAGCACGTTCGAATGCGGTTGAGACCGAACGCGGGTGACACCAGAGGAATACGATTTGTGACTTCATGATGAAAGTACACGCAGACCGTTAATCGAAGCAAGAGACCAGACAGAAATGTAAAGAACGGCTCAACACTAATGTAACTGTCGCAAAAAGATAACGTACCGCATGAGAGAAAAATGTAAAAGCAGCGAAAGCGACCCGCATGCAATGACTCGAATTGATTTTCACTTTACTTCTCTTTTATACTCTGTCGTGTAAGGAAAAAGCATAGATTATTCCGTCTCACTCCGTTCCTCTTCGTCCTCGGATAAACTGAACACAAGTCACTGACCTTTTTGGAGACAAAACTTCACTTGTAGTGGAAGCTGTAGAGGTTTTTTCCAACTTTACAGAATACATGTGCGTCTATAACAAGAGAAGACCGTCAATTGTGGTCTCAGTTTTGAATAGGGGATACATACCAGTTTGTAGAGCTCCATGAGATGATTTTCGTGGTATGCTCCGTTTTTCCCAAAAGACCTTCAAATGAAAAAAACTGATCGACCGTCTATCAGTATAAGGCTGATGTCGGCATTTATCAGTTTACGTCGGTCTTTACCAGTTTTTATTGGTCTAGGGTGTACTCAGTTTATCGAGATTTTCAATTCCATTGTTTTCATCAGAGAAAAGCTTATTTTAGAAAGTAACGATTTTTTTATGAAGTTTGATCAAATGTAATCGGCGATCAGGAATGCGAATGTATCATTAGTTTCTTGAAGTTTTCCGTTTGATTTATTTGGAATAAAATATTATTACAAAAAATTTATTTTGATAACAAAATATTTTTCTTCTAAAACACATTTTTCAGAAAAAATGAATTGTTTTACTGAAAAAACGTTTTTTTACCCGAAGAAGCTTTTTTTCTCGAGAATTTTTCTGGGAAAAAACTCTTTACTAACAAATGCTTTTTAGTTAAAGAATCATTTGTTTTGAAAAATAAAACGTTTTTTGTAAAAACCATGTTTTTGCACATAAATCCAACTGAAAAGCGTGAAGAAACCCATGATAAACTCGCATTCCTTGTCCCCAATTAATTTCGATCAAATTTGATGAAAAAATCGTTATTTTCTAAGCAAAAACTCCTTTTCAAGATGAAAAAAATCAATTTGGAATTTAGAAAAACTGACCACAGATTTTGATTCTTCGATTTCGGTTACCTGTGGACACACTCTATCGGATAGCATTATTTTCAAAAAAAACCATACCCTGACGAAGAAATGAAATTGAAAATATTGAAAAACTGAATACATCCTAGACGGATATAAATTGGTATGTCATTATTCGTATCTTACAAGAAACGGTTGCCAGTAGAACTGTTATCAATTAGACTGATTATCGTCGTCCTTTCATGCCTACATCATTCTCTACCATAAGTTTTTGTCAAAAAAAAAGGTTTACTTGTAATACTGACAAACTGTCCATTATTCGATGCAGCTTTTCGTTATGATTCCAAATATATGGTTACTTTTGTTTTCAAGTGCTTTTGAGAAAAAAACTGACAACACCAAAAAACAAAGGGCATTTTGTGTATGGATCTTCTGTATCTTCACATTCACACCCACTACCTACATCCATAATTAGTTGACTTAGTACAACTCCACATTTTATTATTAATAATATTGGTGAAAAAAACTGTTAATCAATATCGTTGAGACCAAGATTTCCATCGACAGTATAATCGACAATATGTTGATCGTATTCATACATTTTGACTACTGTTTATTCTGCTGTATCGTTCAATATCAGTTAAAATACGTTTACTTCATTGCTTACCTTTTTCGCTTTAATTGACATAGATAAAGATCAAGTCGAAGAAAAACGTAAAAAAATAATCCGTTGATCTTTGCTGTAGATCAATATGCAATAAAAAAATTTTATCAACACTTGACTTATTATCATTATATATTTCATTTGAATTATTAATAGCTTTTAAATAGCTTTTGATATGTTTTAAGGTTTTAAATTGATTGCTTTGAAAACAAAGCTACTCTGTGAAGTGTTCGTCGCAAATTTTCGATTACTACGAGTATTTTCAAATCGTCAATAAAGACCTACAAAATTGCACAATTTTCAGATGCTTAGAATTAATCATCAGGAATTATAGGTATTCTAGTCGAAGCTCTCAATGATTTTTCTTGGCATTTCTGTGAAAGTTTTTCTGTTGTTTCCTTTTTAATAATAAAACTTTTTTCCACATTCAGAAAATTGATGAAATAAATTTGAAACCACAAACAAGGCAAACATGTAATATACGATTTGATGTATCTGTTTTTTCTCTTTCGAACGATGAAAGTCACAGCTCTCTATGTTGTTTCTATTAAAAGTTCTTCAAAATATGTTCACTCGACCTTTTTTTTCATCAACATTAGTATAAATATCACATATGATAGAAAAATAGGTGTTATCGATATTTTATTATTATGATATTACTTGACGAATGACGTAATAGTATAGCAAAATAGAGTGCCATTTCCACTATCAGCTTATTTAGAGAAAAAGTGTCTTCAAGCTTTTTATAAAGAATTAAAGTACCATAACCACTTCTTATGGATAGCCATAACGAAAGTATTTAACACTAATCATCATCGTAAGACTCTCTAATACGATTCAAATCCTTATCGACAAGTTCTGAACTCAATTTTAACCATTCTGCCATAGATTCTGTATGCAATTTCCATTCAGGTATATTGAGAATTTGAAGATAAATTCGACCTGTTCGAACACTTAATATATATTCCTGAAATACACACAACAATTAATCATTGAATAAATATCATCAAGATGTTTTCACCTCACAATAATCATCCATTCCTTGACCAATAACAATTAATTCCGATGATAATTTATGAAATGCTTTGTTCTTTTTTAAATCCTTGTTCTTTCGGTAGGCAGCCAAATGATTTCGAGCATCATCATGCAATGATTTGACAGCACATGATCCGTCATCATTTAACTCTTCAAATAATTCAGATGCCCAATCACGTTCTTCAAAAGGAATCCATTGACTCAGTGGAAGTAGATCTGTCGATGCCAGACGCAAACAAAGTCCATAACCAATCTTGTTGCGACCATTATGAACACGTATGGCTTGTTTGACATCATCTGGTAATTGAATTCGATGACGTTGTTCAAATTGTTTAATATCATCGTCACTCGCACCAGGATTATTGTTTTGATAACGTGAAAATGATGATAATTTATCATTCAATGTTTGCCAGAGATCAACATATATCTTATTTAGATCATTACTCTCTACAATAAAAAAAAACAGTCCATAATTTAAACAATCTACAATATAATCATATACTGGAATTTTTGGTGGATAATATCGGTTTGTTTTCTTGTTTGGATGATGATAGATTTTCCTCGACGCGCTTCTTTTTGGCAGTGATTCGTGAAGATGATCGAGTTGCTTGCCGTTTTTGAATCTTTTTTTTCTTGTCGGACATATAGACAACGAACAAATGTATATCAAACAAAATCTAATCGATTGGTTTACTCGCACAAAATTCTAGTAGATATTACACAAATCAAACAAAATAAAGAATAAAAATATGATGCGACATTTTGCATGGGATAAAAAAAAAGAAAAAGAAAAACACAGACTTATTCAGCACATGTTTTTTGCTATTCAATAATTCGAAAAAAAAACAAAATAGCATACAACAACAGAAATGGTAAGAAACGAGCGAGCTCGTTTGTATGCGAACCAAACAGGAAAAAATACGTCCAGACTCATACTGTTGTGTACAAGCAAAAGAACAGAAGAAAAAAAAGAAGAGAACAAAAATGTTTACGATACTAGAAGCATGGAAAGGCACAGTTTGCATCAAGTTGTTTTGTCAATTTCTACTGTCGTACATTTGGCCATGGAACTCACATTCCATAATATATCTAAAATTGAGTGTAGATGCTCATTATCATAAAACAGAGAACAAGATCCATAACAAACATTCTTGAATATGATGAAGGCATTAAAATTGTTAAGCTATAAATAGAGAAGACAATGCATGATCACTGACGATTATAAAGATTTTCCTGCTGGTTTATTAAGTATTTTGTTCAAAATTTGCAAAGTAAATGTATAACACACAACATTTTCAAAACGGCAACTTCGCAATGTTTCACGATGCATCTCCTACAAGTAAATCATCCATATAGAGGCCATATCAGTGGTTCACTATACCAAACATGAAATATTGTATAAAGCTCGAAAAACAAAAATTCAACAATAGAGATCTGAAAATAAAAGTATTGAATGGAATAGAATTTCGAACAATCCAAAAGGATATGAATTTTCTGTTAATCTTCACTTCATACTCTCAATAATCAAAATAAAATATTATCGCGGTTTACAATCATATTGATGTCATATACTACAAATTGTTCGAGTGTTGTATGTTTTTGAGTTTGTCATATCTAACAAAAAATCAGCATATTTAAATAAATTGGCTCGTTCTAGAAAATTTTAAAAATCAGACTTCTAGAGAATCGTGAGAATCTGTTGAAACCGAACATTTCCAAGCAGATAGAGAAGTAAGAAGAAAAAGTGACTTTTTTCTTGGATGTGTTTTATGAAAGATTTCAAATATGAAATAAGAAAATTTAAGGATAAATACAAGTCAAGATTTGACCTGAGTAACGAACCTCATAATAAAATTAAATTAAAAAATCAGAAAAAATAATAAATCTACTTTGAAGAAATGAATAATAAATATTGAAATAGTCTATAGTAGATATATATTCTGATTAAAATAATTTTAAATTCATAGAACCTCATAACTAGTTTTATACAAACTTGACTACCGCTAAAATAATACATGTAAACGAATTCTTTTATGTTTTTTCTTTCTTTCTGCATTCTGTTTATGTTGCATAAAATAGTAAACAAAAGTAACTATCGTTCTCGTTTTTTTCTCTGCCAGAAATCATTATAATGACTTTTTTTCAACGTCGACAAATCTTTCATAAAATAAATATAGAAAGAGTGGCGTTACAAGTATGTAAAAAACATATCAGCTTGGGTTCATTTTAAAGCGATTTTTTTCTCTATTCAAGAAATTAATGCACATTGTTTTCAAATCTGAAAACAAAACATGAAAATTGAGCTTCTTTTTCCATTGTTTTATTTATAGATAGTTAATTAAAACAATGATTAACTAATCGTTTTATTTAAAATTTCTTTTTGTTTTTTGATTGTCTGAAATGATTTTAAATTCAACCGAAATATCTTGTTAGTACGACAACTAAATTAGAAAAAAATACAATTAATATTAATTGGATATAAAAATTTGATTGGTTTGAAATGTGGTGATTCTGAAACATTTTATCGATTGATAAGTCTTGTAATTTTGCATCTATTGAATTTCATTTTGAGTATTCTATCCAAACTCGACATTTTTACGATTTTGCCATCTTAGTTTTTTTTTCGAGAATGACATAGATTAGTTCTGAGGAGATTTTCTAATATCCTTGAAGAAGTGTTTAGAAAACAAAATTTGAAGTAAAATTATCGACTAATTCATAAACAATAATCCTATTGACTATGAACTCTTTACCTAAGTGGTGGAAATAAGTTTAATCAATTCAGTTTTTTCAATACCATTAAGTACTTAGCTGGTATTCAGATCGTGATTTTAATGCTAAATGAAGTTTTATATCTGATGCATTCTATACCAAGATTCGCTATTTTTAAGAAAGTCTTAGAGAATGTAGTCACGTCACATTTTGTGCTCTTAACGCTAATTTTGTTAAAGAATAGTTCAAACAAAGTTTTCTGAGATCTGATGATTATTATAATTATATATCTATGAAATCTCAGCAGAGAATGTATTAGAGAGAAAAGCCTGTTAACTTCGAAAATCATTATCTAAATTTGAAGTAGATACTTAACATCATAGAAAAAAAATGTTGTCATTAGACTATTTTTACCATTTACAGTTCATCTATGAACAACTTTTATTACAAAAACATATTATGAGGACGAGATTTTGACATAAAAAAAAATTGCAAATGAAAAATTCATTTGTTTTGAATTTAGAGACATCAATTATTATGTTACCAAGTTCAATATATATTGAAAAAAGTCTATCAAGTATTGTAAGCGGATTACAAGAAGAATTATCCAATACTCAAACATCCGTAGTTAAAAAAAATCGTCTTATTCTTCAACAATTAACAAAGTTCGTAGCCGAATTGAATTGTGACTTTTTTCATGAGAAATTAAAAGATCGTTTAAAAGATAATATTAATTTTTTACATATTATACCAATATCATCGAATCCTTTAACGGATGATTGGGGACGTTGTACATATTTTTTTGCAATCATTGGAACATTTAAATTATTAATTTATCAACCAGGTACACCAACATTTATAAGTAGTGTTGAAAAAGATAGTGATTTAGTTGCAATTCATGATAATTGTCAACAAAATGGAGCAATTCTTGGTATGGGATGTGCATCTTTTTTAGCTGATTTTGTTACATATTTATGTTGTTTATATCAAGAAAATTGTTCTAAAATGAAATTAGATTCATCAAATTTTCATCCAATTGCATATAAAATCTCATTAGAAACATGTTTACAAAAATTTGTTGATGAAGATCGAGATGCTCATGGACGATTAATTGAAATGAAAGATCTTTTATTAAATCTTGGTGGTAAAAATGAAATAAAATATGAATCATTTCAACCTTATTTTTATGCAAAAGATATTGAAGTTTTACGTGGAGAAAAACCAAATTTAACTCCAAATTTTTATAAACAACTTTCCAATGGAGAATTTACATCTATTTTAGAAAAACGTGATTATTGTCGTACATATCAACGTATTGAAAATTATTTTGATGATAATTCATCAAGTATTGAACAAAGTTTACATTTTCTTAAATCAGAACCATGGAAAATTATTCATGATACATTAATGAATAAAAATGGAATATTTAAAGATTCAATATTAGCAAGACGTTGGTTAACTATAACTTTTGATGTATTTGAACAACAACTAACGTCAAATACTTCAGTATCTCCAAGTATAATATCTACTACTAATGTTCCATATGATATTGAAAAACTAGAACGTGATTATGATTTATTAAGAAATGAAAAATTAATGGAATATTTTACGCAAGTCCAACGTGGTCTTCAAAGTTTATTTCAATCAGCTGTTATAGCAGATGCTGATATATTTGCTATTCGTACACCTGATTTAAGTAAAAATATTCAAGTCATAGCCGATTTAGTTCCTGAAGCAAAAACTATTTTACAAAAAGTATCACATATTATTGAATCAATTAATCAAAAAGGAATAGAGAAAAAATTAAATAACTTATGTAATTTATGTGTACGTTTTCCATGTTTACCTGAATTACTTGCAAGAAAAATTACTATTATGAAAAGAGATTATATTATGAATTTAAAAGATACGGATACCATTGGTTTATGTTCAAAACTTGATACACTTGTTAAAGGAAATAATCGTTCAAAAAATTGGTCTATTCAACAAAGACTAGCTGTTCGTGATACAAAAATAATAGAAGCATGTTGTATTCAACTTATATGTCAAGATGATATTAATCCATTAAGAGCAACACATGTAGATGATATTGCTAATAAAATAAGTAGTGCATTTAAAAATACACAATTAAGTGTACAAATATCGAAAGACTTAACAATTAATGAACAACCAAATATTTTTCAACGACGAGAACCATTTACAATACCAAATTCATTTTTTGAACAGCATACTAATCATAAATTTATGAAACGTATGGCTAATAATGAAGATTCTATAGCATATCGTGATCGAGTCAAACAATATTTGATGGAATTAAGTTCTGAAAAAATACAAGATTTATTAGGTTCTATTGATCCATCGGATAGTCAACTCAATCCACTTTTTATTTTACTTTTGGAAGTCAAAAAAGAGAAGAAAAATGCTTGTACTATATCATAAAAATGTACCTATCCTATATATTATTCTGTAAAAATCGCATTTAATTATATTTCCAGCTGTTTTATTTACTTTTCTTATAACACAAGAGAAGAAGTTGTGAAGATAATGTTTCATATCGATGTAATTAGAATAATTATCTTTCAATTTATTTTTACAGTGACTGAACGAGAAATTGCTTATGAAAAATGAGATGTTTTTTGTTTGGGAAAGAGAATTAGCTAGATTATCATGCTTTTATTAATGTTCACTTATTGTAAAAGCTAACTTTAATTTCTTTGAATACTGTTCTTTTTTTAAAATGTTGTTAAACTCTGTTGTAAAGATTTTTTTGTTTGACAATCAAATGCTTCAGATGTTCTTTGGTTTTTCGTCAGCATTATTTTGGTCATAAAAAGAGGAACATTTGGGTGTAGTTCTGGCTGTGTTTGCTGAAGATAACACACACCTACACCCACATTCCTGCCTGACTGGCAAGTTATCCAACCACAAGGACATGGCTCTCCCCTACGTTATTTTTGGCTCGTTAGCAGAACTTGTTGTGTTACACAGTGTGAATCTATATCGATGATTATCTTGTTTATGTGTCATTCATATAACTGCAGCCAGAAAAATCTATGCTCTGATCTTGATTTATTGAAGTTTCGCAGAATATCATCAGACGCCTTATTTCGTTCTGATTAGTATTTTCAATAATATGTAGTACTTAAACAAATGTTGAAAGTTAGATACCATCGAGACATAACAGAGCTGGAATTGTTTGAGTTGAAACAGACAGGTCTCGCCTATGAAAATGATCAAAGTCAATAAAATGGCAGAGGAAATCTCAACTCTTGACATTTTAGATCACGAAAAAAAAAGACTATAGAGTGCTTTTTGCATGCCTTAATAAGCTTTACAACTTCAGTTTATTCCTGACTCAAATAAATGTATTGTTGTCAACGTATATCGGAAACAAGACATTGGCTAACTTCGGCTATGTGATAGTGCCCTTTGAGTGTACATTATTTCGACATAGCTCGTATAAAATGACTCGAAACCCTGGCTGCAGATCATATTCATCACTAAAAAGAAGAACAAGCGTGTTTTATAAAGAAATAACACAGCTTTTACTCAACGATCTTCAACATCATTCTCAGAAGATTGTCATACGTGTTACGTTACCAGCCATTTTTGGGTATTTTGTTAGTTTTTAAATAGCTTCGAATTTTACATGACTCGATGCAGTTCTAAGAAATCAACAAACTGAACGAAAACAATTTTTTGAAGTTTAATAACTGCGTCTACAATCATTATTGTAATAGAAAAGTGACATATTTTTTGCGCCAAACTGGTCATCTTCAATTCCATCTTCCTTTGTGCCAGACTTTATGGAAGATTTCAGAAATTTCTGATTTTGTGAAGAATTTCTAGAACTAGCGAATGAAATATGAACTAACCGAATCAGTTGAATTGTTAATAAGAAAAATGAAAAATACATATTGTCTTCAAATTTTGAGTAAAAATATTGTTTATCGCTGAGAACAAAAAAGTATCATAGTAATAGAAATTTTATTGTAAAACTTGACGGAAAAAAAAACTGAGATTCGTCAGTAAAATTGAGTGCTCTGTCTACCTAGATAGTCAAAATCAAAAAACTCCTAGTCTCGCTCGAGTACTATGAACACTATGCAGCTTTCTCACGAAATCTCTCTTAAGACTGTTACATGATGTACGAATACACCACAAACATGTTAATGATGAAAAATATTCTGCTGGTTTGTTCGTTATCTGTAGTCAAGTGTACATAAGACAGGTAAACATGCAAGACCATACGACTATAATAAATTAAACAAGCAGTATGCTACGGTTATATTAGTCATTTTGTTACCATTCTATTAAATGAATATGTTTTGTCCAAATGTGTTAGTCACTCTGAAACATTTTAAATACTTGGATCAACATGGGTTTGTATTTTTTTTGGTTTTGTTGAAAAGTTTCAAATAAATAATAAACTCAATTAAAACAAAAGTTATTTAACTAAATTAAACGCAACTTCTCGCTCGAAATTCAATACTGTATCAGCTGAATTTATCATACGTTAAAGTTTGTTTTCGATTGCATTATATATAAACTTCTATCCTCATTGGGTGTTCGGATGAATTTTTATTCATACTATAGTTCTCGAAATTATCACTTTTAACTCATGGAACTGCAACTGTTTAAGATTTCAGGAATAAGATTTTGTTGAGAAAATGAATATCTACAAATCTACCTGCTTTTTAAAAGTTCACACGATTCTTGATACCCAAATAGAGACAATACACGGAAAACAATAATCATCGGATATCCATATGGGATTTAACCATGTCAACTTTGCGTCGCATAATATTCATTTTAATAGCATAGCTAATGTAGTTTTTGGTGCTCTTCCTAACAGTGTATTATGTGCAAGGGGGAAACGGCGGACTTGAAGTAGAAAAGTACGCCAAAGTACGTCAAAGTAGACTACTTGAAGTAGCTCAAAGTACCACTCAAGTAGTCCAAAGTACGAACAAGTAGCTTAAAGTAACTTCAAGTAACTTCAGGTAAATTTGAAGTTGAAAAGTACTTCAAAGTAAGCTACTTCAAGTAGCTTAAAGTAACTTGAAGTAGCTTAAAGTAGCTCAAAGTAACTTCAAGTCCAAAAGTCCGCCGTTTCCCCCTTGATTATGTGTCAGGATTGGCTGAAGATTAGTGGAAAAAATTGTGTCTAAAACTTTTTGATCATAGGAGTCTGGAATGATTTGCAAAACACTCATTTTCCGGCTCTTTTTTCGACTTTTTCTGCATACCAACATAACACAAAGTAGTTGACTGCAGAGAAAACAATGCTCTCTTACGAGTGATATATCATGAAGAAAATTTTAAAATTAATATGCGCGCCTAACAAAAACACGAAAAAAAGTGGAAGAATAATTTTGACGGCTACTATATATATATCAATAGTTCGATAGTTAAGAACGGATAAGTTTACGACACGTACTTCATCTGTTTATTGTAACTATGTAGACTATTTTATATAGGATTAGTAATTATATGTTAATAAGCAATATCTCCATGACAGAAGTAAAAGAGATAAGACACTTGTTGAGAGATAACAATAAGTAACCAGACAAAATACCCTGTATGACGTAAGATACATATAAAAAGAGAACGAATATGGAAAAAAATACATAAGACAAGTGACAAAATATATATTAAACATGTGACTCTATAAATTTCGTAACACTTTTTCTTTCATTCTTCATCATTATTGTTTGTTTTAATATTTTTTTCTCGTTCGGTAAGTTGAGAGAATGGAGAGTAAATATGAAAACAAAATGCATGCACTTGACACAGACATGTAAGAAACTGTATTAGTAGCAATAAAAATTCTGATTTCTTTTACATGCTTAATAGTAAGTATATTATAGAAGTCCGTCAGTTCAATTTTTATTATTTTGATGCCGATTTCTTAGAAATTTCAGAAGAAATAAACTTATTTTACATCATCTTTTTCTTAACCCGATCTCAAGATCAAACTATTTGTTGAATCTGAGCAGAATCACATATAGCTCAACTAAAGACAATTTTGGTATATATATACAAAATTTTAGGCCATCCACGTATGTTAATTTCACAAAATATATATTTAGTTTTTCTGATTTCAGATATATATATATATCATATCTATTTCGATTCATTGACGGTCAATAACCACACAGCGAAGAAAATCATGAGTTTAGAATTACTACCCAACGAATTGTTACTCCAAGTATTCGAATATCTTGATGAAGTTCAAATTTTTCATGCATTCGCCGGTCTCAATCCTCGTTTTGATTCTCTGTTTCTCACTCATGATCGACATTATTATTTCAACTTTCGATCGGCTTGTAGAAATGATTTCCAAATAATCTTCGAGAAATATGTACCATTGATTATTGATCGAATTAGTTTTATTTGTTTCTCGAACGATGATGAAACACCACAACAAATTGAAAATTTTCTTGATCAAAATATTCCTCTTCATCTATTCTCGAATTTGCGATCACTTTCGTTAAGTCACCTTTGTTCATATAAAATAATGAAAGAAATAATTAAAGAATGTCATTACCTTCCTCATCTTACTCGTCTAAATTTCACTCAATGTTATATGGAACAAAGTATCGATCATTATCGCTCACTTGTAAATAGAATTTGCTCTCTACCTAAATTAAACTATTGTCATCTTGGTATCTATTCTCTTACAATTGGTTATTTTTTTCCAGAACTAACAGTAACTTCATTGTCTATAGATCATCTGTCTGTCCAATATGTTGATTTTCGCTTCAGTGCATTGTCTCAATTGATCAAACACACACCTCGCATTCAATATCTATCTATATCAATGAATGATCGTTCAATTGATCGCGATCTCTCATTGACTTTTCCGTCAATAATTTCATTGAAACTCGATGTTCTTGATGCACCATTTATTTTCACAAGACTTTTGCGATGCATGCCTAATTTACAACACTTAACAATCAACTCATTGGATACTTATTTCGGTAATTTAAAAAACATTTTGGCGGGTCGAGTTGATGATCTTGATATCCATGTTCATAACTTTTATAGAGGTAAACCCTCCATTTATATGAATGGATCCAAATAGGAAGAAATTATTGTTAAACATTTACCACAACTTAAAACATTTCAACTGAAAATGAAAATTCAATATTGGTCTAGGAACAATAAGGAAGATGACATTGATAAACTAATTACTTCATTTGGAAATCACTTTTGGATCAGAGAACGTCAATGGTTTGTTCGTTGTGATTGGAATCCCGAGCCAACATCATCTTACATATGTCTCTACACTTTGCCTTATGCCTTTGATCATTTTGATACTCATACCGCTCTTATTCGGTCTAAATCGACTTCTCCCAAGGAAAATGATTATTGGCTCTATGATCATGTGCGAAATCTGCATTATGACTACTCGTTAACCAATAATTCGGCGTTGAGTCGTGCTTGCTTTTCTAAAATTCATTATCTTTCCATTGAACTTCCATCCAGTGGCAATATATGGCCTACCCTGTCAACATTTATTCACCTGAATTCACTTGATGTATTCATTCTTAATGATGAACTTAATGCTTACAATCAACTACAAATGTTTCTTGATCGAGCACCGAATCTTTATTCATTAAAACTCACCTGTAAACCCCCCCTCATAATAAAAGACCCCCGGGTCTTCTATTATGAATTTTATATCATATTCCAAAAGGGGTCTTCTATTACGGGAGGTCTTCTAATATGAATTTCTGTGCACAAACGACCAGAAAGATAATATATTCTCACTCCATGAACAGAAACCCTTACTGTCTTCTTTTATTTTATGATTCTGTCGTCGACAAGACATCATTTTGCAGAAATAATATTTATACAAATAATTCTAAGAAAATTTCGATGAAGAATGTATTACAAGACCCGGGTCTTCTATTATGAATTTCACATCATATTCCAAAAGGGGTCTTCTATTATGGGAGGGTCTTGTAATATATGGGGGTCTTCTATTATGAGGGGGGGTTTAGTAAACTCTCACTTCCAGAATTGGCATTATTCAAAAACAGTAGCGTATCGGTTCGTCGTCTTGATTTATATGGATATACCAAACATAAAGATTGGCAATGGTTTAATAGGCAACAATGTATTGTATTATGTAATTCTCCTTTGGGTATTCACTGTGAAGTTCTTCGAATTAAAGTTGAACATCCGATGGATGTACTAGAACTTGTCTATTCAATGCCGCACCTGCGAGCATTGAATGTTCAGATTATGGACGATGAACATAATGTACCGGGTTTTAAACCACATCCAACAGACGATGAACTTCTTCAATTTTTGCAACATTCTCTAGATTACACTTGTATTGTTACAAGAAATCAATTTGATTCTCGTAACATTCAATTGTGGATTCGCTGAGAACGATGTCTAAAGACTCTAATGTAACAAAATCGAATCTATTTTATCATCTTTTTAACCACTCGTTCAAAGTGTTAATTAAATTCATGTTTTTTTTCCTTAGAATATCTTATCGACTTGAGGGTGTGGATGTGGATGTGAATTCATTCTTCTCTTCATCCACAATCACATCCGCACTCACACCCTAGTTCTATTGATCCATCAGGTGTGGATGTGGGTGCGGGTGGGTGTGAGTGTGGGTGGGTGTGGATATGGGTGTGGGTGGGGGTGGGGGTTTTACATGTTTTCACACATCCAACACGCCGACATCCACACCCACACCCATTTGATTTTATCTTGTCTTCCCGAACAAATTACACATATAAATCTTGAAAAAAATTCAAACGTATTTTAATATATAGCTGACAACATTTTTCGAATGAATAGTACAGCAATTGGTAAACAACAAAAATGGCAAAAACAATCATTGTACTATTTATGTTTCAGCGGATTCGTCTCAAGAGATGACGTGAAAAAATTCGTAGTTGTGCAATAATATTTATAATTCTATTTCAGTTGAAAGAGAAAATTCATGATTCATCCGAAGGAAGTGCATGACTGCAGGTCATCCTAGGAAAATGAACAGGCGGCTTCCTAGGAATTAAATATTCATCGAAGTATATATAAATATTTAATGGATTGCTACACCAGAAAAACACTTGCAATCAAAATTAAACATGGCATATCTTCAGCATAACCAATACGGTTTTAAAGACACGTCAGTCAATGTTAATGTTCCAAATAACGACGTAGCCCGTCTTATGTATTATTTAAATTGTGTATGCAGTGCTATTCAGTATAATGATTCAGATCTTAGCCGCTTTCGAAATTATCGGAACTGGGCATCTTTATCTTCTGAAGATATACGTCTTCTATTGGTTCTTTGTTTAACTCTACGCCCCGATCTGTTGGATGATAAAGTTTTCTTTCATTCAGATGCTTTATGTGGTGATAGTTCCAATAAATTTTTTGAAATTAGTCAAGTACGTAATCAACTATTGGCTGTACAATCAATTGTTATTGCTGGTAGAACATGTCAGGTCACCAAAATTATGACATATAAGATGTCTTGGATGCAGAATAATTACCTAAATCCACTTCAGCGACTCACTCAACAATACAGACCCAGAACAACACGTACATCGACTTGTATTATATCATAAAGAATCGACGAGCGTCTATGGAAAACAGAACTAAAACGAAAAAATTTAATCTTATGTCCTGGATAATTTCTTCTCGTAATATCCACAAAGTGTTTAAATAAAGAATATTTCATAACTTTTTTTTCCATTTCCATTGTCTTCCATCTTTTTGGAGTTTCGAAAAATCGGTCGATATTCAAAAGAAATCTTTCAGAAAAAGGTATGGGTGAGGGTGTGGATCTGAATGTGGATATGTTAGTTTCTTCAACAATACCCACATCCACACCCTATTCGCATGGTTGACTATGTTCTGTGTGTGGATGCACGTGAGCGTCGAATTCAAGTAGACATGACACTATTATCGTTAGTTCAAATGATGATGATGAGCGGCAGGTGACTAAAACTACTAAGAGTCCGTTTAATTTTTCTACTCCGGAGATTTGTCATTTTCTCTATATAATGAGTCGTATCGACAGATCGTTAGAAATAATTGATAGAGAGCTACATCAAGTAGCCCGTGTATCTTTGCTGCTATTGAGGTAAGTGTCATCCAGAGACTGTATATTAATTGAACTGTCTGTCGAGTGTTATCACTTGTTAGAGGAAGAGGTCGTTTGATTCTTTTTCTTCTATTGTTGTATGTGCGCGCGCGCGTGACTTGATTACATTCAAGGACCTTTCCTAGGCATCATCGTTTCTCTCTCATCTTTTTACGTATGGTATTTTTTTTGAAGTCTGTTTATCAACAACATTTATTTCAAATTTAAATAACCATATGTCAAGATTATGACTTCTCTGCTTTTCTGCTTCAAAAATACTTTTAGTTTACTATTCTCTGTCTTATTTTCATTCGTTTTTGATAACATTATAGTTGATAAATACGCCATAGTACATCAAATTAGGTGGACCTTGAAACTTGAGACCAATCTCATAGTTTGACGAATCTTGAATGAGGCGATCAGCAGTCGTTGTTACTTCAAACTCTTCATCGTCGAATACTCGATAGACATGTGAGACATATTGCATTAATTGTTGATTGTCGATATCGATTTTAAATGCTTCTTTTTTTTCAGTGAATGGTGTCTTGATTATTATGGTTAGATTGTTGGTTGGATAGGACCAAAAGAAATTGACTTTAGTACATGATTTCGCAGTTTCAGTATCAGTCAAATCGACTATTGATGATTTGCAGTCTGTATTCACGCTCACTGTGACCGAGCATTTGTCGCTATACGTGTAAACTTGAGGAACACATGATTCGTCATCAGAGTTCACGAGTGGCCCACCATGAACGATTGCCACTATTGCCACCAACAACACAACGAAGACGGAGAGTGCAGACGACATAATATGTTAGTGAAAATAAGAAAGAATGAGAGATGATTACCTTGAATCGTATATTTTTTATAGTCGAGTGGAAGATGCACGTATGTAGAGGGTGATTGTAAGAGAATAATGAAAATAACAGGTGCACAAAGATTACATATGGCGCACAGAGTAGAGAGTGATCAAAGTTTGAAAAATTACTCTGTTTTTTTTATTTCGTTTGATCATGATGATCAACAATATTCCAATACAAAGTCAAACATCTAATCTCTTTTTTCCGTAAATGAATGAGACAGAAAGAAACACAATGGTGATTAGCAGCTTCTTTTTTCGCGAAGGAATAAAAAGTCATTTTCTCTTCGTTCGTCTCTTAATGTTTTAGGATGTGGGTGTGGGGGTGAGTATGGGTGTGGAAAGTGTGGGTGTAGGTATGGGTGTGGGTAGGCATGGATGTAGGGGGGTGTAGGTGTGTGGTGGATGTGGGTGCCATTATGAAGAGTAGATATCCACCCACACCCACCCTCTCGTTTTATTATATATAAATATGAAATACTCCGGATATGTGTATGATTAAAATTTTTAATTAATACTACTCGCAGAATACATCTATTTTATTGAACAAAGAACACAACAGTTTGGGTCGGGCAACTCAAGTTAAATGTGAGCCCAACCCAGTCCTGTTGATCCTTTTCGGTAATCTGGAATCTTTCTATGAACAAAATCATTGTGGATCGTTCAGGGTAGTCCGTTTTGAAGTCTGAAATAAATTACGAACAATAACAGTACATTTTGTATGAGCTTGCATCATAAAAATAACTAATGTGAAGAGGTTATTATAGTTATGGAAGAACGGTATTGTTGATTAAAGAAAAAAAGACAAATGAAAATATTCTAGTATAAAGGTATAACGAAAGCTATGAATTGCAATTAATCAAAGGCAAAATTAATCATGGCGATGTATGAGCAAACTCTATCTACAGTCGAGAACAAGATGATAAAGTGATATAAAATAATACTTCCGAAACTTAGTCACTAAATTGTATGCAATTTTCTTCAAAGGCCATTTATTTCAGTTGATATCTTCTGTAATACTAATATTTTCGTATTCTCATGATGTAATGTGACGTTAAATGTAATTTGAGAATTTATTAGGAAGGACAAGTGCATTCATTTATGCGTCAATTTAAAAGTTGTATCCATGGTTTCCTAGGTACTTAATAATAGCTTTCATCAAGATCAAACTGTTCATAGTCGCTTACATTTTCTACAACAATTAGATTCACTATCGAAATACAGAGAAATGAATAGTATTGTGACATGAAATACATTTTTAGAGATACATCAACCAAACGATCTATTTTATACACACTCTTCATCATTCTTATAAGAAGACAGTCGTGGTTAAGGATGATATTTGAAACGAAAAACAAATCATATCAAATTTTAAAATTCATTTATTCTGTTTATATGTTTAAAATGATTGATATAGTTCTGCACTGTTCAATACTATATAATTATCTCCACCAGCAATTAACACTTTTCCATTTGTTAATACGGATGCAGTGTGCAGATTTCGCGCAGAATTCATATTACCAGTAGTTGTCCAAATTTCTGTTGATGGATCATACAATTCAGCAGTATTTAAAAGACCAAATAGATTCTCTCCGCCAGTAACTAACACTTTTCCATTTGCTAATACGGACGCTGTGTGATAGTCTCGCGGATAATTCATGTTACCAGTAATTGTCCAAGTTCCAGTTGATGGATCATACAACTCACTACTATTTAGACGACCACTCTTTCCGAATCCACCAGTAACTAGGACTTTTCCATTTGCTAATACGGATGCAGTGTGCAGATTCCGTGCATAATTCATCTTACCAGTAATTGTCCAAATTTCTGTGGATGGGTCATACAACTCAGCACTATTGAGACCACCATGATCACTCAGTCCACCCGCAATTAACACTTTCCCATTTGTTAATAAAGATGCTGTGTGCCCATTTCGTGAATATTTCAGATTATCAGTAGTTGTCCAAGTTCCTGTTGATGGATCATACAACTCAGTGCTCTTTAGACCACCACCGCTTTCATTCATTCCACCGATAACTAATACTTTTCCATTGCTTAATAAGGATCCTGTGTGCCACTGTCGTCCATACTTCATAGGACCGGTAGTTATCCAAAGTCCAACTAATGGATCATACAACTCAGCACTATTGAGACTACCATTCTCACCCAGTCCACCAATAACTAATACTTTTCCACTTGTTAATACCGATGCTGTGTGCCCACTTCGTGGATATTTCAGACTATCAGTAGTTATCCAAGTTTCTGTTGACGGATCATATAACTCAGCACTATTTAGACGACCAGCACCACCCTCACCAAATCCACCAGTAACTAATACTTTTCCATTTGTTAATACGGATGCTGTATGCCATTCTCGTGCATAATTCATGCGACCAGTAGTTGTCCATCCTAGGTAGATAT